TATGCCTGAAATGGGCCCTCTCTGGCCTCAAACGGGCCCTCTCTGGCCTAAAACGGGCCCTCTCTGGCCTCAAACAGGCCCTCTAGGGCCCTCTCAAGCTTGAAATGGTCCTCTCAGGCCAAAAATGGGCCCCTCTCAGGCCTGAAATGGGCCCCTCTCAGGCCTGAAATGGGCCCTATCAGGCCTCAAGCATGCCATCTAGGGCCTGAAATGGACCCCTTCAGGCCTGAAATGGGCCCTCTCACAGGGCATATTTTAAGGCACTTACTGCGTCCCATTCTGGGACGCAGCCCCCTCGCCTTGGGACGTAGCCCCTGCTGATTTGACCCACTGCGTCCCTGCCCTGTGCCCTGTCCGGTTCCCTAAACTGTGCCCTGCTGTGTGCCCTGACCTGTACCCTTCCCTCTAAAATGTCCTGTGCCATGCCCTGTAACCTGTCGTGCCCTACTTTCTGCCCTCCTCAGTGCCCTACTCTGTTCCTTGCCCTGTGCCCTTAGTCGTAGCACGTGCCCTCTGCTCAACTTTGGGACGCAGTAAAAATTTGTTAAAATATGCCCTGCCCTCTCAGGCCTGAAATGGCCCCTCTCAAGCCTCAAACAGGCCCTCTAGGGCCTGAATTGGGCCCTCTCAAGCTTCAACTGGGCCCCTTCAGGCCTGAAATGGGCCCTCACATACCTGAAATGGACCCTCTCAGGCCTGAAATGGCCCTTTCATGCCATGGAACGGGCCCTCCTAGGCCTTGGATTAGTTCAATCGGGCCTTGGATCACCCCTTAAATCATAAAATGGGACTATATATCCTAAGGGGGGGGGGGGGCTATCAGGCCTGAAGACTGTTTTTCAGTCCTATGACGGACCTTGACATTAGTGATAAAAAGATTGTCAGGCTGCATAACGTTACAGTTCGAATCGACGGTGGGCCCCTAGGATAAGAGACGGGGGTGAGATCTCACCCCTTTCACCCCCCCTGGCTGCGCCACTGAGTGCGTGATCTAAATATGTCCATGGGAAATCTGCGTTGTTGCGCTGGTCCTGTTCATTTCTGTTTAACGTGCCCCACTGCCCAGCCAAATGCTGCATTATTTACATGGTAAGTACAGCAATAAATTTGTTTTCCTTGACCATTATTTAAGGCCAGGCGCTATTCTCATCACTTTACCTAAAGGTAGCGGGTAAACAGCTCGTTTGTTTACTGGCCGCTCACACGACTCCTGGGCCTTCAATGAACACTGAGCAGCGCTGTAGTCCTGTTGATCCTGCAGAATGACCAGTTTGACCACGACAGGGGGTGGGGTTGCCGGGGCAGCGGACCGGTCCCTAGAGGGGCGACGAAGGAGACCGAGTAACGGGCGCTCAGAACCCCTCTTCAGGCTGACGTCACCTCGTTTCGCCAATCGAGGGGCTCGGAGAACATCGGGCGGAGTCGGTCTGATGAGGGGGCTGACCGATACCGGGGCGGAACTTGAAGAAGTTCGTGGGAGTGGTGACCTCACACGGGCGTGGTCTGAGCGATATAGGTGACCTCACATGGGCGCATAGGTGACGTCACATGATTGTGGCGGCATCCGTGAGACTGAGTACTGATAGATCGTCGTACAAACGGTCATATCGTCTCGGCTTGACTTGCACAATGCTCACCGTGAGCCGCTCTTCAATGCAAGAGTACCATTGTCCTATACCAAGGGCACGATAAGTATAGTAACGGGTGGGCCTCGCCTCGCGTGAGCTAGACCCCATGCCGTGACTGGACGTGAGGCCGCTCACGGCACAACAGCAATCATCGCGCCGAAAGAGGACGACCCCGGCCCAGACTTCCTGTTATTTGTCGGCATGGAGTTTGACATTTCATCAACCCTCCCGCCATATTGCATCCCCAAAACGATTTCACTCAAAACACCGGATCTGCAGTGTGGTGGTAATGCCATGAGAGTCAATTTCAGGATATCACGTGGACGTAAGGAAGGCACTGGTATATCGGCCTAAGTTGGTAGATCCAAGCTTACGTTCCCTCATTGAACTGTTGCCTGCCCCGCATTTCGCTTTTCCGTACACACTGTCTCTGTTCTCATTGCTCTTTTCGTCAGGAGTTGCCTCCTGTTACGTTTTTCATGGCTCCGAGTATCGTTCTTCTCCCGATCTACTTTTCTGTGGCTATCCATTTATCGTTCAATGTTACACAGAAGTTAGCTGCCCAGTGCCCACTACCCCGTAATTCAGCGGTCCCCGCTCCGTGTTTCACTGCTCGACTGTATCCATTGCGCCCGGCGACATCAACCATCCGGTGTGACCTTTGACGGACTCTAGTGCCGTACCGAGTCCGACCCCGGAGGCACTGAGGGCGCCGGGTCTGCCAGGCCACGGATGGACACTGGACAGGGCGGAGTAGAGCAGGATCACACGAGTTCCGATCGAAACATACCTGAACTGGGCGAAAAACTCCATGGGGTGGAGACTTCCATTTCGCGTCTAGCTAGACGCGTCTAAGTCTTAGACGCGTCTAGCTGGACGGCGGCTGCGCAGTAGCGGCGGAACACCTTCAATCAAGGGGGGGGGGGGGCACTGCGGACTTTTGGTCCCATTCTTTCCATGCAACGCCCATAGGGCTAATGGTAAAATGCCAAAATCAAAGGGGGCACGGTGCCCCGCTGCCCTCCCCGTTCCGCCGCCTATGCGGCTGCGTCTATCTGGCGACAGCTAACTTAAGCGTCTAGCTTGGAAGTCTCTGTCCAATAGTTAGATGCCAAGTTAGATGCCAACTTGGACGCCTGCTCAGTTAGACGCCAGTTGGACGCCAGTGGAAGTTTCCACCCATAATGTTTGGCACGGTTTGGTCTCACCAATGCAATGGCTGAGGTCAATTGCATTGGTTTATAAGTTGCGGGTGAATGCAGTCCGACCAAACGACCGCTGATTGTCCCTCGCTTGAGGCCACCAATCACAAGGAACATGGTCCCTGCAGCGAGCCCCTTTCCATGTTCAGGCTGGTTAGTGCCGCCGACCTGCCACGCGAATGCTCGTGTGGAGGACATTTCAATGACACACGATTATCGAAAACGGCCGCTACATGGCGTTTCAACAATGCACGCTGCAAAAACGGTTCTCTTTAAAAAGGGGAGCGAGTGGAGCTCGAAGCAGCCATCAGGGTGGATGGTGCACACTAGAGATGTCAATCAGATACCAACTTTTTCGTATACCGATACCAAACCGATACCAATTTGAAAAAAAACAAAACCGATGGTTTGGTATTTTGTTGGTATCATAAACCCTCACTAATGTATAAGAGGCTAAGAAATCGGTAACAAGTTGGTATTTCCCTCATTTTCCCAAGCTGGTTTGGTTTCGGTATTGTCCCGTGGTTTTGATTAGTATTTGGTTTGGTATCGGTATTCCGATTTTCCGTAATTGACATCACTAACTAGTGCACACGTGTTGAACGGCGGCCGCCGACTCCACGCTATGTTATGTTGTCGGTATATTAGACTCGGTCCCCTCTGACCAGACTTTCCCTATACATACAGGAGCTGCTCCGCGCGCTCGTGCGGCCGGTCGGCACGCAGCCATGGGTAACCTCATCCCCAAGCTGGCGCTGCAGCTCAGCCGCGACCGGTACGTGGTGCACGTGCACACGGGCGACCGCAAGTCGGCCGGCACCGACGCCAACGTGTACGTCCAGCTGCGGGACGAGGCCGGCCACGTGACGCCGGCGCGCCTGCTCGACCACTGGTTCTTCAACGACCTGGAGCGCGGCACCGTCTGCAGCTACCCGGTGCCGGCCGAGCCGGCGCTGCAGGGCGTCGACAGCCTCCTGCTGCGCCGCGACAACGCCGGCCTCGGCAACGCCTGGTTCCTCGACCTGGTGGAGGTGGAGGACCGGACGCTGAAGCGGCGCTGGGTGTTCCCCGTGCACCGATGGATTCACGCCGACACAGAGTACCGGCTGCGCCAGTTCGACATCAGCCTGCCGCAGGACGACGAGACCGACATCCGTGACCGCCGGCGCGCGGAGCTGGAGGCCAAACGTGACGTCTACCAGTACGTGCAGCGCATCAGCGAGGGACCCGCTCAGGTGAGGAAGAGATCGGCGAGAGGCCAGAGCGAGTGAGTGAGTGAGAGAGAGAGAGAGAGAGAGAGAGAGAGAGAGAGAGGGGGGGCAAGGAGGGAGATAGAGAGAGGTCATTTCAGGTCAAGATGAAGGCCATGAACGTCTTCCAAGTCAGAAACAGTCAGTGATTTTAGAGTAGCCCGACCCAGGTCACCGGACGGTGGCACCGGCCACGTTGGCCTCCATTGCAGGCGTGACGTCAACAGACGGATCTGCCCATGCCGGGTATGATGCCATAAAGGCTTGACGAGGAGTAGATGCCTCGGTGCCAGCCGCCGGCCGTGTCTAATACTTCACAGACCGATAACCGGTCTCGGCCCAGAGAGGCATCTGCACTAGTGGTGTCAATTTCAGAAAATATGTGTCCAATGTCCGTCCAATGTCCGAAATTCGTCCACTGTCCGTCCAAAGATGTCCAAGCCAGCCATTTGTCCAAAGATGTCCGAAATCTACGCAAAAATGCTGAGGTGTAGGCGGGTGTAGCAAGTGATGATCCAATGTTGTCCAAAGCCTGCTGTCATCGTCCAACTAAATTTCGAATTGGACAAAATCGGAATTACGAAGATTAAAGTTCCGATTGACACCACTAATCTCCACGTTGGCTGGTCGGCAGCCGCATTGCTCCTGGACGATACGATAACCCCCGATAGAAGCACCAGGCACCGTATCGGAACTGGTACGTCCCACAAGCGGGATCGAACTGAGCACATCCACCGACCAGTCACATTATCAATTTGTTACGATTGCGCACCAAGAACAAAGCGAATGATGTCTAGACGTGAATATCGCCATTATATCCTTATCGCACTACAGGGATTGGAAATCCGTGGGCCAAAGCACATGTTCTGAAGAAATTCGGGTTCCTTCTACACATCAATGCACAAAGTAGCCTTGAACCCATCGGATTGCTGGTTTCATCTACCTATGTGGAAAGTCTAAACGTGTCTTTGTTATCCATATGGACCACGAAGTTTATCCGTGCCCACGCCCATAAGTTTATTTTGTCGAATTTGAAAGCTATAGCTACCGCACTCTGTGCGATTGCCTGGACCTGAGTTGACCTCATTAACGGTGAAGATTGAATTAGGGCTGCTCCAAATTGCAACCAAAGTTCACTGAACTTTGAAACTGTGTAGCTCTCACACGAAATAAGAAGTTTATGCTGCTGGAAAGCACGAGCAAGAGGGAGACATCTTTCCCCAACAACCGGCAAGTATAGGTCAATGCCGGCAAGCTCAAGCTGTACCATGTGAACCTACCGCAGTTTCGTGTTCGTGTGTTTAGTTTAATTTGGCGCGTGTAGGTTGAGGAGTAACGTCTAAAACAACATTTTCGTAAATTGTAAAAAGACGAATAGTTGAGTTTTTTTCAGTAGCGAGATTAAACTCAGAACAGAATTCAGCAGAAAGGTAGCGGATGTCCCAAAAACGTTCCTTTCATAATTAATCTAAATATTTTCATTTCTTCATGAAACAGAAGCCGAGCGAAGTATAGATATGTACAACACAAGCCACCGAATTGCACCAGCCATTGCTCGCACCGTACATACGTACCAGCAGCGGAGAGATGAAAACAATGGAAAGCAAATCCATTAACGGAACAACAACATTGTAAGGTCTCGAGAACAGTGCTTTGCAGCGGACGGCAATGAAGGAAGCAATGACACAAGACAACGATACGGTCCGGAACGAAATGATGCAAATCAGGTGAATCGATAAAAACATCTTCTGCGCCACTCGAACGTCCAATTCGAACACGTCCAACTCGAGAGACGAGAAATGGGAAAGCTGACTGTTCTCACGTGCTGCGTATCCGCCGAGTACGAGTGCGATACAACAGAGTACCTCAGCAAGGACTTCCTAATACGTGTCAAAACGGGCGACCTGCTGGGGGCCGGCACCGACGCCAACGTGTTCATCCAGCTGTCGGACGCCGTCGGACGCGTCTCTCTGCCGGTCAAACTGTCGCGCCGGCTCAGGAACGTCAACGAGCGCGGCAGCAGCTGCGTGGTGCGCGTGCGTGACCCGTTCCTGGGCCGCGTCACGCGTGTCAACGTGTGGCGGGACGCTGCCGGCCTGGCCGACGCCTGGCTGGTCGACTGCATCGAGGTGGCCTCGCAGGGCCACGTGACCAGCGTGTTCCCCGTGCACCGGTGGCTGCGCGCCGAGCGCGTCTACTCGTTCCTCGAGTTCGACTCGTGCGTGCCGCAGGACGACGTGCACGCGGGGGTGCGCCGGCGCGAGCTGGAGGAGAAACGCCACCGCTACACCTACTGCCAGCGCTTCGTCGAAGGCCCCGCGCAGGTCAGGGGAGCCGGGGAGCCGCCAGGGCCGGCGTAACAGGGCCCCTACCGGGAACCAGCCGTCGTGCCGTCGTCACAGGATATAGGCCAGGTCCCAAGGTCACTCGGGTCACTCGGCCAGGTCCTGAGTGACCCAGATCCCGATGTAGTATCGGGATCACGGGTCGCCGGTCCGCGGTCAACGTTTTGTCAGGGTCTAGTCTAATACGGCAAGGGTAGGTACGATATTGACTATTGTTAGTGCCTATAATCCAGCCCATGTCACCGTCTGCTTTACGGTCGCTGAGATCGTCTATGTTTTGGAAAAAAAATGAATTGCATCCGGTTATTGGTTGAGAATGGTCCGATATTCGGCATATGCTTGTGTTTCGCGTAGACTCATTCAAGTCCGTACCTATATAGGGGCTCATTGATATTCAGTTGTCATCCGATAAAAACTTACGTGCTTTCCTGGCTGTTTCAGGTAAAAGAACTTCCCGAAGACGAAATGTTTTCATTTTCATATAAGGTAAGCGCCATTTTTATCACAAACTTCTATGATTCTCGAAATGCTGTAATTTTTCGAATAGTTTATTTCTCAGATCAAATCACGTATTTTACCTTTTTCCTGTTTTATTTTTCAGTTATAAACGCCGTCTAAGCAATCGCTATGACTGTGACGATGTGTCAGTCCGATAATTCGCATGACCGCGTTTCAGTTCGACTTTCTGCGGGAGAAGGCGCGTCTGCTGTTGAAAACTAAGTCTATCGGCTCTTCCAACGACAGCTGGAGCTCGTTCGCCGACCTGGCCAAGGGCTACGAGAACAGTCTTGGCGAGCCAAACGTGAGTCGACAGGTATCTCTTCTCGTGCGCAGGTAAGTGAGCACAGCAATGAGCTGCCCGTCCGTGATTCAGATGTAAATGTTGAAACAGGACGCTGCCATAATTGCCCGTTTTACCGACGGTAATCGCGCAAACCGGCCGCCGGCTCACGTCATTTCTCGGTTATCGGCTACGAGACGGCCCACAGCGCCTCACGACCATCCAGTTTGCAGTTATGTTGTGCGGTTCTCTCTCAGTCATCGAGGACGCCATTCGCACAGTCATGAGTAGCCTCGAGGATATACGAGGCCAGCCGATAGGCACCGATAAGTAGTCTCGCGGCGGCCAGACACGTGTGCCGGGCTCGCCGGAGCCGGACCGCGTGCCGCCCCCGCGGCCTCAAGGCCAGATAGCAGCCAGCGTCGCCGGCGGCGGTCGGCCGACGCCCTCCCTGCTATATAGCGGCATGCCGGCCGCGGTGGATGGCCGGCGTTACTGGCCGTTTGGGGCGGCTGCAGCGGCGGCTGACTGGCAGTTTGCGGCTGCCGGATCCTGCTCGCCTGGCGCCGGCACACCCGACACCTGCTGCCGTGCCGACCGGCGGCGGCCCGCGGCGATCTCGACGCGTCCTGCGGCGATACCGACGCGGCCCGCTGCGCCCGGCCAGCTGTGCAGGCCGACCCGACCCCGGGCCGAGCGCCACCTCCCCGGGTGCTGCGGCTGTCCGGGGTGACCACCCGCCGGCGGACACGGCGACCCGTACTGAAAACTGAACACCCGGGGCGACCTCCGACCGCGGCCAGACCGAACAGGAGTCGATCGCCTGTCAACGATGATACGCCGCTGTAGGACTTCTGTTACCTATTCAGGGGCGCAGTGTCACCCAGTGTTCCGCGTGTAACAGTGATGTCGATTAGCGAGCCAGTTTGGTTGGACTTGGAGAACTTCACGGACCAATACGTATTTATCTTCCAGTATTTAACTTCCCTAACATCGCAACCGTCCATTCATGCATACGAATGACAACGGATTCACATATGGCACAGTTTTTTTGGGCGCCTTTTGGGCGAAACGCCTTTTGGGCGAAGAACGAGCGAGCGAGTTAGTGAGCCCTGCACGTGCGGAAGGGCGAGAGGGTGCTTCTAACGGGCTTGTGCAAAGCACCCTTCTAACCGGTCTCTAGCGGTGTGCCAACTTTGAACGCAATCGGCCCAGCCGTTCCTGAGATCTGGAAGCGGCATTCTGCACGTGCGCACGTGCAAACGGGGTCCAAAATGACTTTTGCACGGCACCCTACTAACTGGTCCCCAACCGTGTACCAAATTTGAGCGCAATCGGCCCAGCCGTTCTCGAGATCTGGAAACGCCCTCTGCACGTGCGCACGTGCAGTAGCACCCTAACCGCAACACATGGGAATGCATTGCCTGGTGGGTGCCTACCTGTATGCCAAGTTTCAGCGAAATCGCCCCAGTAATTACCGAGTTACTGAAATGGGAACAAATTTGGCACCTCTTATTGTTGCATTTTGCACGTGCACTGGGGGTGACCCACATACATCGAGAGTATCCTATTTTGGGTAGATGGGATGCTGCTACCCTACACAAATTACCGCAAGTCAATCGCCCAAGCGGCTGCTTAGATATCAGCCTCTCAAAATCACTACTTTTGCAAAACAGCTTGAACACCCTAGACTTTTCACGTGGCACGTGCCACGACGGTCACTGAGATGTATCAAAAGTAGTCAATTACGGGGTAGAAGGCATGGGGCTACCCAACAAAAAAGACCGCAGGCCAATCGGTCCAGCGGTTGCTGAGATATAAGCCTCTCAAAAGCGTTACAGGCCGGGCCGGGCCGGGCCGGGCCGGGCCGCTCATACTGAGATTTTTCCGTTATATTGAAAAGACTCACTTCGCTCGCTGCGCTCGCTCGCTCGTAATCATGCTGCATTAAAACATATAATTTGCTGATTATGCCTACAATACATTTACGCATGAACGCGGCACAGATTAGACATCCAAAAGTGGTTGGGCCGATACCGTGAGAGACTATCGTGTGCCCATTAAAGTTTAAACGTACCGTCACGGATCGCATCGGTCAAATTCCGACCCGATAAAAGCACTACGATAACTACCGGCCAGCAATGAGTGATAGGCAACGCATTTTCACCACGACATGACGAGATTTGGGTGTTATACTACTTAACGGTATTTATAACTTCAAGAAATTGATGCACTACCGTCCTCCTCCATGGTCTGTAGGATCCAAGCGTGCAGCTGTGATAGGAGACGGTAATCCGGGACGATATAGCCTGTTGTGGATGGTAAAGATGGGGTGTTCGTACGACCGTCTGTGACCTGTGCCCATCTGCCCGCAGGCGATGCAGTACTGGAGCTCGGACCGCTGGTTCGGCCTGCAGAGGCTACAAGGTGTCAATCCCGTCATGATCCAGTTATGCACCAGCATCCCCGACAAGTGAGTGGGCACTGAAGGGGACACCGGGCCTACCCCTGCAGTCCTGGGACAGCGCACGACCGTGACCTTGTGGGCTGAATGTCACCCATGGCTCAATCTCTACAGCAGGAAACAACAAACAACCCTACCGGCTCCTGTTCTAGGTCCCCGAACTCCGGCGCGATTATTGTTCTACCGTCTCACAATCAGAGAGCGGACATTGATTCAGCAAGAGCAACATACCATGCCAGATGGTTGCCGTCTGGCGCCCCCCAAACAGCAGTAGAATTGCGATATTGGTCAAAGGCAGTCGGATGCCATCAGACAGGCGTTATTTAGTGTGCGTCAGGGTCAGATGTCAGAGCTTAGGCACCGTCTGGCGTCCAGAGTAAGAGCACGATCTGAGTCAGACGCCATAGACAGAATCCCGTCAGGAATGCCGGAGGAGCCCATATGTGTCTGGCACCCTCAGCCTGGACAGCGGCCCCAGGCTCACTGCGTCCCCATGCCGTGTGTGGCCGCAGACTGGGCGTAGATGACGCGATGCTCCGGCCGTTCCTGGAGGGCCTGAGTCTGGAGCAGGCGCTGACGTCCAAGAAGCTGTTCATCGTGGACCTGGAGCTGCTGGACGGCGTGGGGGCCGTGGAGGGCACAGAGGTCAGTCCAATGACTGGCTAGGTGCTCAGCCCTATAGGTCAGTTGGATTTCCCAGATGGCATGACAACGGCGGTGAATGGAGGCATCACAACCGTATATACCTTTATGCTGGTCAGATAAGCATGCCAACAGCGCAGCATATATCATTTCTTCAATCATCTCTGTATATGGTTCCATATGGCAGTGTTCAAAGCTATCGAATATCTAGATTTGTTCGATACGCCAGCATATAAGATACTTCCGCTAACCGCAGTCGGCCGACGTTTTCAGCTGTGCTCTCCCATCGCACTCTTCTACCTGAACAAGAAGGACGAGCTGATGCCGGTGGCCATTCAGCTTTTCCAGGAGAAATCACCCGATAACCTGGTGAGTCCATTTCACCGTTCGTTATTGGTAACCGGTCGGAGAAGCCGACAGTGCGTGACGTGCACGGTCCGTATCGCCTCGTCAAGTAATCGAGCGAGCGATTATTACACTCTGTGATAGCGTCACGAAATGTCGGCACGGTTCAAAGTGGTGGCGCAAAGCCATTCACACCAATTAGAAACAGACCGCTGCAAGCTTGATGTCAGTGTGTTGACAAATTGATACGGGAGTCGGGATTTCTTCGAATTCACGTCCACTAGATGATGCGAAGCGGATGACTCACTGAAAAGCTACTCAGATCCCATACGAGTGTACCAAACCAATTCGCCCCTTCCTGAGGTTCCTCTGTCGCCAGGTGTTTTTGCCGAGCGACCCGCCCAACGTGTGGGTGCTGGCCAAGATGTACTACAACAACGCCGAGGCGCAGCAGCACCAGTCGTGCACCCACCTGGGCTTCACGCACCTGCTGATGGAGGGCGTGGTGATCTGCACCCACCGGCACCTGTCGCCCTCACACCCGCTGTTCCGGCTGCTGGCGCCGCACTTCCTCTACCTGATCGCCATCAACAGTCGTGGCCTCGAGAAGCTCATCTCGCCCGGCGGCTGGGTCGACAAGGGCATGACCGTCGGCGTCAACGGCATGTTCGAGCTGATACGGAGAGGGTGAGGGGCCGGGAGACGGCGGCACGGCTCACGTGCTAGGAAGTGGCCTCTATTGGTGCCCTTGGATAGTGACATATCTAACTTACTATTCAAACAGAATCCGTCTGTCTGTGAGTGTGTGAGTGTGTGTGTCCGCCACGCCGTGTAGTGGGTTCAATTTGTTACGGCTACAGGGCAGACGGTACGACGTAGCGGGCTGAAATTTGCACATAATATAGGTGACAGAGCGGGTCAGCGCCTTTTCTAGGTTTCGACTCGCTGGGGTGCACGGTTCGCGCGTGGGGCGCGCTGGAACAACGCCAATGAAATTTTGATCGGTTCGTAGATCTTCATTGAGAGCCGGGGTCGACAAACTTTGTGAACTAAATGCATGCCGATCGGTGGCGGGTGCCTCGCATTGGCGGATGGGCAAGTTTTTAATTTGAATAAAAAGTGGCCAGAGAATGTGTTGATTTTCATTCAATGGGAACAGTTTGTGATACGAGTTTACAAATGCACCGCGTTTGCCGCAATGCGCCACAATTATCTCAGGGCGTCATTTTTGCCGCAAATCTCACAGTTTTGTCAAATATGGTCCGATATGGGTGCAATTTGGTGCAAAGATGCATGCTCATTGCTCAATCACCGGATGAAAATGCGCCGCGTTTGCCGCAATGCGCCACATTTGTCACAAAGCGCCATTTCCGACAAATACGATTAAGGGTTATGTAATAGCAAGAATTGGAGCAGGGCTAGAAGCACTTTTAAAGTCTGATTTTTGTCTTAGTACTTATTGGATCCAATTATTCCGTGACCTGACATGACCCAGTGATAGGTAGTGATAGTTGTACGGGTAGTGGTAGTGGTAGTGGTAGTGGTAGAAGGTAGTGGTAGGGGTAGGGGTAGTGGTAGTGGTAGTGGTAGTGGTAGTGGTAGTGGTAGGGGTAGTGGTAGTGGTAGGGGTAGTGGTAGGGGTAGGGGTAGTAGTAGCCAGTAGGGGTAGGGGTAGTAGTAGGGGTAGTAGTAGAGGTAGTGGTAGGGGTAGTGGTAGTGGTAGAAGGTAGTGGTAGAGGTAAGTGTAGTGGTAGTGGTAGTGGTAGTGGTAGGGGTAGTGGTAGGGGTAGGGGTAGTAGTAGCCAGTAGGGGTAGGGGTAGTAGTAGGGGTAGTAGTAGGGGTAGTGGTAGGGGTAGTGGTAGGGGTAGTGGTAGGGGTAGGAGTATGGGTAGTAATAGTGGTAGGGGTAGGGGTAGTGGTAGTGGGGGGGGGGGGGTAGTGGTAGATGTAGTGGTAGTGGTAGGGGTAGGGGTAGGGGTAGTGGTAGGTGTAGTGGTAGGGGTAGTGGTAGATGTAGTGGTAGTGGTAGGGGTAGGGGTAGGGGTAGTGGTAGGGGTAGTGGTAGGGGTAGTGGTAGGGGAAGGGGTAGTGGTGGAGACAAAAGTAGAACAGTGGCCCGGGCTGATCCCAGCGGACGAGAGGTGACCTATGTGACCTGGCCTCACCCAAAGTGACCGGGGCTGACCCCTTTGGCCCGTCTTGACCCCGTATCAGCCAAATTTCATCCAACAAAGCCTTGAGAACAGTTCTTTTTTAAATTCTCTTCACATTTCCGTCCATATCAATGCTTCTAGACGACACATCGATTTGAATCGAACACCATTCGAAAGCAAATTGACTGGTGCCGCATTTTCCTACCACGCAGCAAAGCAAGTGGCGCAGCCGCTTGTCTTTATCTCTATTTTATCTCTAGTAGCGATTGGCGATGTTTCGGCATTTTATTCTTATTTTTTAGCCCCTCATTAGTTTAAAGACAGTTGGATCACAGCTAAACCTAATCCATGCTGCGATGTTTGACGACCGCCTTCCTTACAGCATCAAGCGCTGGCGTCTGGACACGATGGGCGTGGTGCCGGCGCAGATAGCCGGCCGCGGTGTGGCCGACCACTCCGTGCTGCCCTACTACCCGTACCGGGACGACGCCACCGCCCTGTACGCCGCCATCGAGCGCTACGTGCGCTCCGTGATCGACGACGTGTACTCGGAGCCCGAGCGGCTGGCCGGCGACTGGGAGCTGCAGCACTGGCGCAAGGAGCTCACCCTGCCGCGCGACCAGGGCGGCGTCGGCCTGCTCGGAGTGCCCGGCGACGACGAGAAAGGTACGGCGCCCGGCGGGTCGGCAGGGTCGACACCAAGGGAGGAGGTTATGATGTGGTGAGGAGGGGATCCGGGGAAGCCTGAATGAGGTGGATGGATGAGCAAAGAACAAGGTCAAGGTTTTTTATCAACAATACTTCGCTTCGGTTCAATCACTTTGATTCGTATGTCCCATCCAGTTGACAACTTCCTGTTGGTCAGAATTGCAGCTGACCTCTGACCCTTCCCCCTCTCCGTGGGCGCAGGTTTCACCTCCAAGGACGAGCTGGTGACCACCTTCACCTCCATCATCTCCACGTGCAGTCTGGGCCACGCGTCCGCCAACTTCGCTCAGTACGAGGAGTACGGCTTCGTGCCCAACTACCCGGGCATCCTGTACGGCCGGGCGCCGCGCAGCAAGGACACCGAGCCCAGTGAGCGCGACCTGCTCAGCTACCTGCCGAGCCGGGTCACCACGCGTGACATCATGGTCATCACCAAGCTGCTGAGCTACCGCGGCACCCAGAGCCTGGGCGACTTCGAGGTGCGCTACATGTACGACCCGGTAGGCTCGCGGGCGGCGGAGACGATGCGGGCCGAGCTGCGCAAGCTCAGTGATCAGATCTCGGCCAGGAACGCGACGGCGGAGTTTCCGTACAGCTGGCTGGATCCGGCCTTCGTGCCCAACTCCATCAGCGTGTAGCCTGAGTGGATGGACAGACCAGTGGGTGGACCGGCGGACTGGCCGGTTGGTGGACTGATGGACTGACCAGTGGACTGATTGGTGGGCGGGACAGTGAGTGGCCCGGTGGACCGGCGGATCTGGGAACATTAGCGGCGTTCGACCACCAGGCTAGAAGTGCCCTCGCCGGAGAAGGGAGGGTCGGTGGTGTTCCGAGGCGGACCGACTGAGACTTTGGATTATAAGAGACCGACCGACAACCGTCAGTGATACAAAGGCTTCACAGTTCGAACTCACAGTCCCACGGCGAACTCCTCAAAGTTGACTGGACGTATTGCGTGTGTTGATCGCGTTAAGTACGATGTAAGTCACTGATACGCAGGGTAGGGTGCTTTACAACTCGCCAAAGCTGGCGGCACTGTCAAGCTTGGAAGCTGTTTCATTATTCCATTTGTCAACGTGCAGATTTGCTTTTAGAGTGTCATCTCACTGGTACCTACCTGTGCGGCGTGGTTTATGTTAGTTGTAGGTAAACAGATTCTATAAGAGCGGCACGGGACACTGTGATGGTGTCAAGGCACCCATGTCATTATCTGTAACTCGAGGCACCTGTAGGTTTGCGGGCATATCTCTCTTGAGTAGTCATGGAGCTTTCAATAAATATATATCGTCCTGTCTGGGGCTTATCTTCTGTGGTCTGGGACTGGGTGCTACCTTGGAAATGATTTTAATGCACCCGCATTTAAAAAAAGCGTACGGAAAGGACATTTTTTTCAAGTCATCTCGAACTTCTGATGTATGATTTTTCCTTTTTAAACAGAGGCGAGAGCAATAACTAGATGCAAAACGCCATGTAACTGAAGTCGACCTCTGAACAGGTGACCTGCGACGGACCCCATCAGTTGCAAAGCCACCAGGCGATCGTCCCCGTCCCGACACAGCGGATCCATCCCTGAACCATACCACCATCTATCGAAGGTCGGTCCTGTCTGAGGGGCAGCGGGGCCGGTCGGTTAACGAACTGCTGCTTAGCTCAGGGCCAGCGCAGAGCACCTCGGGAGAGGACAGTTCCATTCTGTGTTGGCAGGGATGGTCTGATGAGTTAGACACAGTACACGAGTTCCGACGATAATTTGGAAAAGCAGAACGCCTGTTATCACATACGCAGCAAACATCTACAGCCCACCATATGCTGGCCAAGAGTGAGCCATTGAAGAAACAGCAGACTTCAGACAGGCGATTTTTTTCACATAAATTTGATGGTTTGAACTCGAACATATTTAATCCAGATCACCGAAGTGACATAATTGGCGTGGCACGACCCCGACCGCATCCCAGGCACGCCAGCAGTACCGATGGAAGGTGATACACGGTCCAAGTGCGCCATCTGTCACACCCAGAGAATCCACCAACCCCAACCGAGCCGCGACGAGCTGTCACTGGCGGTCCACGGCAGGAGCAAGATTCATATGGATAGGACAGAGCCTACACCAGAGCCGCCCAGCACTCGAGGTCCGACCTCCAGTCCGGTGTACTAGCCCACGTCCGTCCATGAACGATCTCTGCCGACGCTGCTCACGGGCCGTTATGGGGGCTGGCAGTCTTCTCCTCACCTCATCCCCACTACCAGCACAGCCAGGCCAGTTGAGTGACCACCGAGAATTTACTCCTTTATTACAAGCACGAGTCATTTCACATAAGTTAATGGTAGAGTGTCTGAGGTGGCGTGTCTCGGTTGGCGTTGAAATGATGGCGAGATTTAGCAGCTCCCCACTCAGTTTGTCTGTGTCGCGGCCGGCGGCGGGCCGCGGGTCTCGCGGTCCGTCTACCATATACATATCACACATGTACAGCGTTGGGCGCGGGCGGGCGGCGGCACTAGGTGAGCTTCTTGGCCCGCTGGAACAGAGTGTCCACCACGCGGCCCATGTTGTGCATGGTCTCGAGCGCGGTGTCGTAGGTGCCGTCGGCGTGCGTCTCGTCGAATACGACCAGCACGTCGTCATTCTGGTCCAGGATGCCGTGGAACTTGGCGTCCAGGATCATCTGGGACAGCTTACGCTCCACCTGGTCCTGGGAGAGCCGGATTGTCTGCGCGATGTAGCCCACCTGACGACGGCAGACGGACGGCGTCACAGACCCGGAGACTGGAAGGACCGGCGGGTGTCCCCGCCACCAGACGGAGCACGGAGGGTGGAGACGGCTACCAGACCAGCCGCGCGCCAAATAACAACCCCCAAAGGAATAAATGCTTTCATTCAATGAAGGAATGGATCAATAAATAAATGACTGGCTGAGTGATTAAATGAATGCATGCATGAATGAATGAATGAATGGATGATGGAGCGAAAATAGATAAAGCGAAAGGATAAATCAATCAATGAATCAATCACCAATTGAATAATGAATAAATGATAAATCGGATGGATCAGTCAATGAATCAATCAACCAGTAAAATAATGAATAGTTAAATAATCGAACCACGGATCAATTATCAATCAATGGACGATCGCATCGGATGAATGGAGAGATAATGGAATGACGAAGACAATGGACGGATGAATGAATGAATGAATGAATGAATGAACGAATGGATCAATGAACAAACCATTCCTTGTAATTCGAAGACTTCCCCAGTCCAGCGCGCAATTCGAGAGATCGGGTCGTTGGATCCAGCCCCCTCTTGCTGTCATCCGCACACCGCGTGCATCTACCCCCGACCTCAGCGCACCTGGCGGCGAGGACCGTCACTCCACCCCGTGGCCGGCTCACCTGGACTCGCGAGTACGGCTCGATGATGCGGCACAGGTTCTGCTCCAGCATGGTGTCGTACAGCGTGTTGAGGTGCGCCTTGATGATGGGGTCTCCGGCCAGCTCCTGGCTGTACTCAGAGAGCGCCTGGGGGCACATGGAGAGGGTGAGGTTTGCGACAACGGACCGGGCGACGGACGGGATAATGGGCGCACGCAGCTGTGAAGGCTGATCAGACAAATCGCATTACGAAGTGGACAGGTGTGAAGAGGGTAGATAACTGTCGCAGATTACCGAAGGTCGCATGCCCAACGGTTCCGAACATTACCAAAAGTCACCAGTATCCCAGAAGTAGCTCAGCCATTGGCATGAATAAATAAAAATATAATTTCCCAAAACTGCACAACCAGCGGACCCCGGGGCCAGCTGATGACCAGCTACACTCCACTGCCACTGCCACAGCCTCACCAGGGCAGATAAACTAACACCTCAGCACCCGGTGACGCCTCAATCCGCGGCCCTGCCCGTACCTGCTGGAAGTCAGCCAGGGACCGTTTGTGGCTGGCCTGCGCCACCGTCTTCATGGCGTCAATCTCCCGGCCGGCGTACTTGAGCGCCAGCTTCCCGCTGACGATACCGTTCACGTCCTCGGGTCTGCGGCAGAGCGAGCGAGGGGATATTAGTACGGCAGGGTGTACGGAGATCTGTACAGCAGTACAATGTGTATTATGGATTACGTAATTGTGTGAATGTGTATTATGTAACCAGCAATGGCCACGACAGCGAGTGGAATAAGCACAACAGTGTATGGGAATTCGCATTAACTGATGGCCCACAGACCTCCAAGAAGACCCCGCAGACGTATTCTTATCACGAAGTCCCAACAGGTCAAAGTACTCACGTGTTCAACATGATCTTGGACATGAGCATGTACTTGAGCGCCAGCAGCGCCTTTCCGTCCTCGACGCTGTCATATCCCTCGAACGCCTCGTAGAAGTACGAGTAGGCCGTCTTGAAGTCCCGCTCGTCGGCAGCGTGCAGCACGCCCGACTGCATGTCGAGCGCCGCCTGCACTTTGGGCGGCGTGTAGATGCCGTTGGCGGTGGTGCGCGCTGAGGTAAGCGCCGCCCGCGCCTTGGGCAGGTTACTCAGCGCGTGGTACGTCTTGGACTCGAGCAGCTGCACCTGTAGCGGCAGGGCGGCAGGGCGGACCGGTTAGCGCTGCAGAGAGGTGTGTGGTAGACATGGGACGGTCGGTGGTGTGGAGTGGAAGTGGGACAGCTGTAAGTGATAGACAGTCAACAAATAGGTTGAAAGGTACACAGGATAGCATAGCAAGCGATGTTACAAATAACGAACAAAAAATGTAGACTTAACCCCGTGATTCATAACGGCTGCTACCAGTTCTTTAGTCCATAGCATCATACCTAGACACTGCACCACCATCCATTAAACCACATTATACTCGAAACTCGCATCTTATAAGTCACACAGATCCACTCCTACTGCCCGCTGTGAGCTCAAATCCCCTTGGTGTACGAGGCACCAGCATCGTGTCCCTCGTGTTGATCCACTTCCCACTCCCATTCATCTGTCCATCGCGCTACCCACACTCCACGGCTTCTACCCACCTCAACTAGGAGATTCTTATCATCTAGCTTTTTCAGTTCCTTGAGCAGCGCAGAGCCGAGCGTCAGCGCCTCCTGGTACTGTTTGGTATCGAAGAAGAGCGCCACTAAACGCGCCTCGAGTGACTGACGTAGGAAGGTGCGCTTCTCGGCCTTGGCCCAGTCGATACACTCCTGTGGGCAAACGGTGAAACGTCAGAGACGGGCGCAGGGCAAGGTGGTGTAGGAGAAAGATACGGACAGCTGGCAGAGCCGAACAGTGAAAATCAGACGAGATTACGAAGAACCGAAGATATAACTGCAACAGGGCGCTGTATACGGGACGCAGCACTGGTATGCCATCAGGGCGGTCGGTTAGGGCTGAATGATCCCCGAGTGCTGCATACGAGAAGGTTGGTGTGACTGCCAAAACAGAGTTGATGCCGGAGAGTCCCCCAGTAAAATTTAAATGACTCAATTACCGCACATCTATAGACGACTGTAATACTGACGAACAACACAAACAGCACGGACCCTAGTCCATGAGTCCAGTCCAGTCCAGACACAGCCTCAATTATCTGAACCAAACACCACATGTGCCGCACCCGTCCGCCTCTGGCCTCTGGCCCCACCGGTTCGCGTACTGACCTTACACAACTGCACCTCGATGCCGGTGCCGGCCTCCATGTCCAGGAACATGTCCACTAGCCCGCGTACCAGCTTGGACGCCTTGGCCTTACTGATGAGGCCCAGGAACGGCCGGGACGCCCGGATCAGGTCGGCCAGCTCTGACAACAGATAGCGGAGGGTCAGACGGCGTCACAGTCAGATGGAGTCAGTACGGTCAGACGGCGTCACAGTCAGACGGAGTCAGTACGGTCAGGCGGAGGTACGGGCAGAGGTACGGTCACACACTGTCATCGGCGGTTTGACAGACGCCGACTGTTCGCTGGGGTCTACGGTATCGTCGACAACGAGATGATTAACATTCAATCTTCGAGAATGTTGTCTAAATGAGTAACAATTTAACATGTATGCCAGCCTTACATATCTGCAAGAGCAAGGTCACAAAAATAACAAGCTAGCATGACCGAAATTAAGAGACCTGAGTTACAGCAATCCGGCATAACCCAGCGTCCCGCAGGCCGCCCCCACCCACCTCGGGCCTTGCCGGACTTCTGAAACAGCTCTCCGAGCTGCATAATGCCCTGCTCCTTGATCCGAATTGTCTCCTCATCGCTGATCGGCGGCTCCGGCGATTTGACTGGAACCAAGCACACTCAGCTGGTCAGGTACACTGGGAGGCAAGTAGAGACTATTGAACCCCAGAGCCATGAAAACTGGCTGAAAAGGTGGAATACTGCCATGTCAACATGCTGGAAGGTCATCATGGCTTGTTTGATGTTTATTGTTTATTGTAAGGCACCAACAGATGCATGTCCAATAATAGGGGCAGTCATACAATTAAACAATAAGTGCATGACTTAAAATAACCCAGAGTGCTAACTACTCCTTATCTCCAAGTATCTATGATGTGGGCACCCAATAGCCTGCCTATTGCCTAAAACAGCCCACTATCACTAAACTAAACTTAGCTACTAAGAGGTGTAGTTTTAACATTTCGCAAATAATAAAATCATGCAATACCTCAATTCAGGGTCAATGGCAATATGAGTGCAAGCAAGTCTCCTTTTGCCTAAAAAACACACCTTAACAAACCCTTTTGTTTATTACAGCACATAATGTTTTCACTATTGCAAGTAGAATTTTGTCCAGCTACCTATTTCAACATTGCTGCATGGTAAAATGAGAACATACTGAAGGTAAATTGGGGGGCATGCCTAGCCAAGACATTTTTGGTACAATCTATTTCATTCAAACTTCTTCATAGTCATTCCATAAGTCAATGTACATGTACAAAGCATGTATATAAGCATGTATGGTGTTTGGTAATATAATGATGGCAAATGTTTACTTTGCTCTTGCATGATGCTATATTTAGCTATAGCTAAATATAGCATTACCAGTTTATTATCTAATTCCTGAATTGCCTAGATGTTCTGCAAGTTGAGCAAAGTAAACATTTCCCATCATTTAATCTTGGTGAAAATTACAGGAATTAAGAAATTACTTATAGATGTTTGAAGCCTATAGAAGTTATGAGCCTAATCAATTGTAAACTGCACAGTAAAGTTGAAATGTTACCTAGCTACCTATCGCTCATCCATGTAAAAATTGAAAGATAAAAATATAAACTAAATGCTTGCTTGTTTACCATTTTCAGGATTTTAAAAATGATATCTCCTTTTTACTTTCTCAGTCGGTGACACACCAGGGAAATAAGCTAAAATAAGAGCGCTCTATTTATTGCTCCTGCCCCATGTTGAAGAGATACCCCTAAAAACGTGATCTTTTATCGGCCCTTACGCAGCAAGGCAGTAATTCTCAGACCGGTGGATGGTATCAATAGAAAGAGAATGCGTCAAAGATTAACATGAATTAATTAAAATAACATTAAAATGTTAATTAAGCGTGGAAATTAGTCCCAAACATAAGCTACTTATTGCTCCTACCTCGGCGACGGCGCTCCCCGCAGTCGGCGGAGAAGCTAAAATAAAAGCCACCATCCTCCTCCGTAAGTCAATTTTAGAGCGGCCGAGTGGGCCGATGCGGGGCCACCAAACTGAGGTGAGACGTGGCTAGTAATTGCAAACCGCCATAGAAATCAATATCTTAAGACGTACAATATGGAATGATTACTCTGAAACTGGAGTGAAAGCATGAGTAGATTGCAAGAAACGAAATGCATAGATTGGTTGAATTATGTACAACTACAATAGGCACAGCTCAGATGAAGCCATTTCTATGATGTTGACATATGACATATGACATAACCCTTCCTCTCCTCACCTATGACCTAAGTGCATTGGCAGTCACCGGCATAGTTTTTGAGCACGAGTGTAATTCGCAATCGGACCGCAATACATGTTGCTAGGCTGCTGCAATTACAACGAACATACGAATACTGCCTTCATTTGTAGACGTTTGTTTTTTAGGCGGTCTTTGACGTGCAAGGGGGCATACCTGTCGACAACTTGAGTTTCTCCGAATTTCAAAAACTCCCAGAATTTCAATTCCTTATGCACTGTTGTAGGTACAGCTATGTTCACAAGTTTTCGTTTCCTCCTGTTCTAAAAAGGATGATATTTGTCGATTTCGTGCGTCGCTGATAGGAGGGTGCGTTTAATAATTAGGCCCAACGCTTTCAGCATCCGCGAGTATCTTCAAAAGGGAACAACAGTTTCCATTTATTACACTATGGGACATGTGACAAAATGACCACTGGAACACGCATGAAACGGAGCTCATATTCCTAAAAATGTCTACAATCACTTCTTTTCTGACACTATTAGCAAATACCATCTCAAGTTAGGTGGTTGACAGACAGTCAATGGAGATCTGGGGAGACTGAGTGATGCCAATTCACCACTTAACTGATAATGAGGGCCGAGGGAAGAGAAACATGCAACATGCACAACTGACAACTTGACAAGTGACAAAACACTACCACTATTGCGCAGTGCACAACAAATTACAGCAGCCAGCCCAAAAAATGCTTTTGGTGGCTAATTGCAAAACAAGTCACTAATAAATGTCTTAGTTGCAGCTGAACACTGCACAATAATCACACTGTTCACACATTGAGTGAGATGCCACAGGTGGTTTGAATCACACTTTGGTTCAACTGCAAATCTGAAGTGTTGTCATGAGGTTCATGCCTCCATGATCACAGCACTTTGGTTGTGGTTGGCATAACACTTGTAGTCTGCAGAGTTCCACATGAACTGCAGACACCTCATCTGGTGGTCTTCATGTTGCTCAACTTCTTCAGGAGGCAAATGTCGACCACCCAGCGGAAGCATGGTCCTGCAGAAAAGAAAGGTAATGCATAAGGTACAAACATTATCTGCTGAAACAGCTCCTTCTGTTGGCTGTTATTAAACTTTTAACATAGGTAACATAACAACATGTATTCCATGTATATTACATTTGTTGAAGTAAAATACTGCCCGCTATTTCAAAACCAGAAAATGAAATTATATTGTGGCATAATTCACCTGCTCAGCTATTGGTATCAAATAATAATTTAATATTTGGCATATTCTATATAACACATTCATAGAATATTCTACTTCACGTCACAAGGACTCACAATCTTTCTGTTGGGTGTTTGATTGACGCATTAACTAAGTTCGTCTTAGGTTTTATTATTGCAAAAAATTCATATTGCATTATTGTATCAAAATACTGCCAGCAATAACAAAACAAGAACATGAAATGCCAACGAGCAGGCCGCCTTTCCTTAAAATGGATTACTTTGAAAGGAATTTTAGTTTCTTTTAAGGAAAAGGATAAATGATTATCAGGTAATTATCAGAAAACCACTCAACCAGCAAGTGGCTGGGTGGTTTCACAGCAAACATCAAGCCAAAACATATACTTACATCTATCTAACAATTGAGCCATTTGACTACTACAAGGATATGTGAGAAAAATAAGAATTCAATTATCCAATGTTGACTTCCTTGCAAAGTTTATGCCTTATTTTATGAAAATGTGTCACTAGAATATGATACTTATCATCGAATATTATTTAAATTACGATTTATTTCGATCGGAATGCACATGGAGTCCCGCGCCATTTTCGTCGACGATGAATATGATCGTGCTTCATGAAGAGATAAGGGGTTTCAATGGTCTTTCAAAGCAATAATTTGATGCAAAAATTTGTAGGAAATAATTTGAAGCTGGTTCAAATGGCCATCAACCATCTAAAACACCGAAAATACTCACAACACCGTCCCGACGACCACGCAGCACCGCGCACGCCACACTACTGGCACAATGCCAAAACTGCTATCACAGCGGAAATGTTTTTTTTTTTCTCGATTGCAATTGTGGAATTATTTATTAAACAGAAGATGATCTTTCCGAAAAACCGACTGATTTCATACACAGATGCATGGAAAATAAAAAAATCCCGGTAAGTTTATTTGTATGGTTTTGTCTATTTTGACATGCTCCTAGTTTGCAGCCATATTTCGATATGTTCTACAGGGAGTTCAGAATTATTTCAGGACCAATCTTTTCCTCATTCATTTTCCCGTCGATCATGAAATTTTTAGAGCGGAACAATTGGTTTCCAGGCGGTCCGAGCGGTTTTCGTGAGAAGGGTGCAAAAATCGGCGTCATTTTTAGAGCCTCGACACCAGCTCAACACAGGACCCTATGGGAGACGGTGAAGTAGCGGGAGCAATAAATAGAGCGCTCTAATTTTAGCTTATTTCCCTGGTGTGTCACCGACTGTTCTAGGCACCCACATGCTTTACCTAATACCTACACTTCCTAATTGAATTGAATATAATGATCTAGCGTTCACTTCTGTATTACTGGTATTTGACATCCGCATCTTAACAAGTTTGAATAGGTAGTAATAATGTAACTAGTAACAAGCACAGTCATTAACACCTGCAAATCAGAAATGTACCCACTCAGTGCTATTAGCTACCTATTATCTTTAAACCGAATCCCTTGCAAGTACCTAGCGTACATTTGTTTTATGCATTCACATCTTGACTTGCGACTGCTATATCTTTGAATTTTAAAGGGTAGGTATTTGAAGAAAGTAGAATAGGTATGCATCAGTGACATAAATGTGAATGAACCTCAACCTTTTAAAATCGGCAAAGCCATCCAGCTTCAGACAGCCCGGGATGAATTCCATTACATTGTAAATTACCACTTAAATTGCTATTTAAAGTAAATTGGATAACAGCTGTTGAACGCAGAATTTGTCATATTTTAGACTGAACACTTCAGCCTCACACTCTAGCCAATATTTTAAGTATTACATGGCAAATATAGCTTTAAACATTGTAGACAAATGCGGCGCAGACGAACAGTCAGCAAATGGCCAGTAAGGGGAAGCGCTATTAAAAAAGTTTGATAGTTTTAACAATAAAAGACTCACCTATTTTACTATAAAGTTCAATTCCCTTATCTTTATCTGAATTTGAAATGGCTTGCGCCCGCTCAAGAAGCGCAGCCGACGCCATGGCTGCCTCGCCGGGAAACTGCAATTGTCACTGTAATGCAGACAAATACAACGCATGTGCCAAACAAGCCAGTCACTGTGAGAAAGTTACAGCTACGAAATAGAAGTGGTGTCGTTTACATGTAGGACTATCCCATTCCGTTCATAGGCGGCGGAACGGGGGGGGGGCACCGGGGCACCGTGCCCCCCCTTTAGATAGGCATGCGCGCCATTTCGATATTCTGTATTCGGAATTCAGTGAATGTTGGACATATCTAGTCCTGCGGACGAGACAGAAACAATGTTACAGAGGGAAGGCACTGCATACATGTCTATCTCCCCCCAGTCTTTGCCGGCCGGGAACAAAGACTTACATAGATTGGCATAGATTGAAGGGTGCCGTAACGAAACGACGCCGAAAGGCCAAACGACGGGTCGCATTCACGGGAGCGCGAACAAACAAATAGCCCAGGGGGCAACAAAACACAGCTTCTAGGCAACCAGAACGAGTGGACCGGCTGGAAAATGAGCCGGGACAACGATCAAACACTAAACGCGGAACATATCCGAACATCGCAAACAACTGCCGAGTTTGACAATGATAGGGAGTCAGTGGCACAGTCAGCGCGTGAAATTGGGGTCGCGATAGCGGATCGGCATTTGGCGCGGGCGATCACTGCGACGGGGACGGTCGGGTTCAGTATCTCTCAGCGGCTGCGAGCCTGGCGCGGCAGGGGGCGGCATGGCCGGCGGCGACGGCGTGGCATGACCGGGCGACAACGCATGCGGGGACACGCGATGTGGTGGTGAAGTCGACATGGACGGTGACGGCGTCACACACTGTGGGGACACAAGGGGCGGCGACGCATCTCGCTCGCGCGGGGATAACACCACAGGCGGCGATGGCGCGGGTGGACGCGGTGTCGGGGGCCTGCCACGGGGCGCCCGCGGCGGCGTCGCCGGCATCTGGCCGACCACTGGAGTCGGAGAGCCGGGGGGTTGCGCCGCAGGTGGAGAAGTGGGTGGCGTCAGTCCAGAGTTCGCGTGCGACTGTGACACGCGTGTTGGATGTCGGCGGAAGTCGTCGAGCAGTTCGTCCATTCGGGTGTGCTGACGACGAGCCGGAACAACCGGAGTGTATTTGCGCAGGAACTGCCTGTTGCGCAATGTCATTCGGCCGCTGCCGTCGACCCGGACCATGTACTGGTTATGTTGTCGCACCTCCACGACGCGGCCAGTTTTGTCCCACTTCCTGGGATATCTTCCGATTTGGTTTTGGAGGCGGACGGCATCACCGACGGTCAGTGGAGGTAGTCGCCTCGTATGTGCGGACCAGCGTTCGTGGTCCCGCATGTGGCGGTTCCGGAGTGCCTCCTCACGAGCACTCAGGGTTTCGCGCCACGTGGGATGAGGACGGTACTGACCGGGGGGTATCGGGATGAAGTCTCGCACCGGACGACCGAACACGCATTGGGCCGGCGACAGCCCTGTCGTGGGGTCGGGAGTGTTGCGGTAGTTCAGCATGGCGCGCTGGAAGCGTCGCACGTTCAGTTCCCCGTTGTCACCTGTGTTGCCTTCGATCATGCGTTTGACGGTTTTGACGCCAACCTCAGCGCGACAGTTCGCGTGTGGGAATGCCACAGAGGAGCGGCGGTGACGAACACCGTAGTCGGCCAGAAACGCCTGTGTCTCGTGGGCAGTGAACTCCGGCCCGCCATCGCTCGTCAGCTCCTCAGCGATGCCAAATGTGCTGAAGACGCGGTAGAGACAGTCTCGGAGGCCTGCGCTGCCATCTTGTGCTCTCTCAACGATTGGCCAGTTAGAATAACGATCAACGATGACGAGGTACGTACGGCCGCAGTGTGTAAAGTAGTCCGCGCATAGTTGCTGGAACGGGTACTCTGGGTAACTGATGTCCTCAGGTGGGGCCCATGGCTGCGATGGGGCGTTCCGGTTGCACGTGTGGCATCGTTCACGGGCGCGCCGAATAGCTGACGTGATGCCGGGCCAGTACACGCTTACGGCCGCGCGCGCGAGCATCATGCCGATCCCTTGGTGCGCACCGTGGAGACTCTGGAGCACCTCCTCGCGGAGGCTGGGTGGGATGACGATTCGCTGATCATACAGGATGATGCCGTCGCTGGTGTATAGGCCATCACGGAGCGAATGATACTCTCGGAGCTCCTCAGGCATCTCGTGGCGGTGGGCTGGTAGCCCTCCCTCGATCAGTTCGAGAAGTCGCATCATCGACGGATCGCCTGCCGTTGCGTCCCTCACGCGGTCCCAGGTGACAGACCGGATCGTGGTGATGGCGGCTGCCGCTACCTCGCCAGCATCGTCGACGGTGACGTCGTCGGAGAGGCTTATGCCGATGGGAGCGCCGGTTGGGTACCGGGACGCGATGTCGGGAACGCGGTTCTTGACTCCGGGGAGATAGCTGATGTCGAATCTGAACCGGAGGGTCTTTTCCTTGAGATTACGGAGACGGGCGTTGGGCAGGTCGACCAGTGATCGGTCCCCGAAAATCTTCACGAGGGGTTTGTGGTCAACAACGACCGTGAGGTCGCTGCAGCCGAGCACGAAGAAGCGCGTTTTCTCGAGGGCGTCGGCCACTGCCAGCGCCTCGCCCTCGACCGGGGCGTACCGAGATTCAGCGCCGGATGTAAAGCGGCTTCCCACCAGCGTGGTCTTCCAGCCCTCAGCGCAGCAGAGTGGTGACCGACCGGCGCATGTGCAGTATTTCTGGAGTAACCAGAAACCGATACCAGTACGGGACCAGTCGGTGGCCAGGACGGTTGGGCGATCTGTCTCGAAGATCTGGACACCCTTCGTGACCTCCTCGACGATGGTCCGTTTCGACATGTCGAACAGTGCCTGGAGTTCATCCGTCCACGTGAACTTGCCGGGCTTCAGGAGTTCCCGGAACGGCAGCATGGCATCCGCCATGGCGAATGCGTAGGCGACGTGATTGACGACCCCGAACCACGCGCGGACGTCTGTCAGGTTCCTGGGAGTGGGGAACTCGGTGATGCTCTGAAGGAAGGCATGAGACGGGCGGACTGTGTCAGGCGTGATTTCAAACCCAGCGAATTCCGCTGTCTTCTGGGCGAAGACAAACTTCTCGCTGTTCAGCGTGATGCCGGAACGGCCACACATGTCCAGCCATTCCACAGTGCGCCAGAACACCTCCTCGATGCTGTCTCCCCAGAGAAGGGTGTCGTCGATGCATTTCGTGTAGCAGTCGTGTGACAGGTTTGCCGCCATCACGATCTCGTCATAGCGGCGCGTGTACCCGTCACCGCTGGAGATGTAGCCCTGGGGTGCCGCGCAGTAACGGTATCGGCCCCAAGGGGTCAGGAAAGTGGTGAGGTGTCGATCTTCCTCGTGTAGGGGCACCGAATGGTAGCCATTCCAGGCGTCCAGTATCGTCTTGTAGGTCGACCTCGGCACAGACCGGGCTTGGTGGAAGGGACTTGGGGTATGATGCGTCTCTCTTGCGGCGCAGCGGTTCAGGGGCTGAAGGTCGACGCAACGGCGAGGGCTTCCCGACTTCTTGGAGACGACGACCATCCGGTGGCACCAGGTCACCGGCTCACCAATCGGTACGGGCTCGATGACCCCCAGCTGCACGTCGCGATCCAGGGCGGCCTTGACCTCCGTCTGCCAGTGCAGTGGTACTGGGATAGCCTTGTGGTGGGCCACTGGCTCGGCGTCAGGTCTGAGCATGATGCGCAGGGGTGGACCGTCCATCGGCGTGAGTGGCTGATGTTCACAGGTGTTGAACGTGCTCGCAGAGTAATAGTCGGCCAGCCACTGACGCAGGGCGTCGACGTTGCTCTCCGTTGCCGGCATAGGTAGCTCTGTTGGCTTAGGCGGAGGCGTCTGACGGCGAGGACAGGAACATGCGTTGTACTCGTCGATGCCGATCCCATCCGCGGAGATAGACGCGAGCCCGACAGCGGGGAAAGCGGCGTCGATCATGCCGAGGTCACGACAGGCATCTCGACTGAGGTACATGGTGTCGCAGTTCGGCGTGATGTACACGAACTGTCGAGTCTCCCGCCGAATGCCGTCGCGGTGGCCGGATATACGTAGGATCAACGCTCCGCGGATGTCGATGGGATCGCCGTTTGCTGCGTGCATCCTCAGGGACGTCGGGACGAGGTCAGCCTCCGTGACGCCAAGGCGTCGCATGAGAGAGATGCCCGCCAGACAGCTCTGACAGCCTGTGTCGGCGATGACTTCCTGAGTGATGGTGGCCTGGCTGACCGTGCACTGGAGGCCCAGGGCGCCGTAATCGGCCGGTTGGAGCGAGAGGTCCAGTTTAATCGACGGCTGGGGCTGGCTGGGTTGCTGACACCAGCTCTGGGTGATGTCGTCGTACATGTGGTGCCGCATGGCTGCGGCGGTGCATGAAGCTACCGTGTCGTGCGTTGAGTCTCTGAGGCTACAGAGAGCGTCACTGGGAGCGTCATCATCGCCCTCCGGATGTGTAGTCGCGATACCGGCTGCCTGTCGCTGCAGGCAGGCCTCGGTGAAGTGGCCCCGGCGTCTGCAATGACGGCACTGGCTGCGGTAGGCGGGACAGGATTTAGCGCGAACCGCGACAGAGGCTTTTACGCCATGACCTGTCCGACGACAATATTGGCAGACGTCGGCCGGTCCTGCGACTGAACTCTGTTGACGGCCAGCATCGCCAGCTGATACTCGCCGCTCCTGCTCGCCGATGCTCGCTTTCGCTCGCCGGTACTGGCTGCGGGCGGCGGCCACACCTTGAGACTGACCCAGCGTCTGAGCGGATCGCTTACCAGCCTCTTTTGCTTCGACGAAACGAATGGTCTCTTCCAGGGGGATCGGTGTCTGGCCTTGGGCGAGGAGGTCCAGTTGAATATCCCTGTCCGCTAGCCCCCTGGCGAGCGTATCGCGTGTGACTTCATCCTGGTAGCTGACGACCCGTCCGCATTCGCAGGTGACGTGAAACTTACAGACAGCCGCCTGCCCGCGAAGACGAGCGGCGAACGCCCTGACCGGCTCTTCGTGCTCCTGCGTCATGTTGTGGAGCTGGACGCGAGCCACTGCGAGGTTTTCCTCGCGGACGGCGAGACTTCGCATTGCGGCCAAGACAGTCTGTT